TTAGCAGTAAATGCAAGTAACTTCTTTCAACTTATTACTGGGCAACATATAACTCAGAGACTCTGCAGAAACGACAAGACAGCAAGTTTATCCCTTCCTAAGCTTACTGCTATGTGCTGGCCATGGCCCAGCTTTGGATGACAACACTGTAGCATCCTAGAAGGTTGTAGAGAAAAACGAGTCAGCACTGTCTAATTTGCCAGGAATATCTAGTACTAAGACAGCAGTATCAAAAAAAGGTTGAGTAGTGATAACATCTCTCTTGCCCTCATCATCTTGCAAGCCTCAACTTAGATGGAACCCACCAACAACAGTCTTAAATTTTTTTCCAATAGCTTTGTAAGATAACCTATTAAGTCACAGCTGTTTAATGTCAGAGGTTGTAAAACTTAAAAGACTGCTATGCTAAATGTTTCAATTAAAAAAGAGAAGACTCTTATTTTCCCTGCCTGCTGTGCATTATGGAAAAGCACACAAATAAGTCTGAAACACAAAGAGTAAATGACATTTTACAGAAGGTCAGTTTTGTAGCAGCAAAGCATAAGAGTAATACAATAAATGCACTACTGTTTAGTTTCTTGTATAGTGGAAGCTAGAAATTATGCTGTTCTCATGATAAAAACAGTTTAAAAAAAGGCAGTGCTTCTGAGATATAATTGTGTTACGAAATGTTTCATATGGATGAAAGCTTTGTTAATACATCTTGCTCCAAGTTGTACATTCTCACTTCTACAATGGCTTTGCTTCTAATGTCACATATATGTTCAGATTTCTGTAATGGCAAAATTTTCTCAAGCAATTTGCAGATTGGAGTTAATCAGAGTTAACTTCAGTGACGTCACTGGTAATTTCAAACTGTAGTGTTTAATTTCACAGTCTGGTCCTAAGGCATTCTGGTGTCTACTGAAAGCATTTTCCCAGGTCTCATTAATACTGGAAGGAGATAACACTTTTTATCTGATTGGACTCCTTTTTTCTAGGTATTGTTGCTTCCCATGTTAATGTATTTTTCCTTGCCAATGCCACCTTAAAACCCAAATGAAAATAAGTATTATGGCAGATAAAACACTGTCCTTTGAGCAATTGAATGGGGGCATACTGCCAGCCAAGAACATTTAAATTGGCTCATCTGACTACACCTAAAAAGTTTCAAAGGTCACTAGGGAGAGGATTAGTATTCGGAGTTTTACACAGAACCTGTGCAATCATTTCTACTATTGCTTTGAGACATTAACATGTCAGAGCAAAGACACTCTTTGAGGGCTATCAACTACAGATGAAAAGGAAAGAATAGCTAAATCTTCCTTGATTAGTCATGCACACAGAAGCATAGCTAGGTAGCTTGGTCCAAGCATACAGTCAGAATGATCCACTTAATATGAAGTCTCCAAGATGAAGTGTACCTGCTCATAGGTTCAATACTTTGGGGAAATATAAAATAATCATGCTGTTTAATGCACTAAGGTATTTTATCTACACATGTTGCCTGTCCTTTATCCACAGGGTGTTTTTTTTTTAAACGAGAATTTTCTATTCTCTTCCATCTAACAAGAAATAGCACTGATGCATCGCCTTAGCAATTCATGATGATTCAAAGGTCTCCTTTTTAAAAGCAAATACTTTAAACAGCTGGAAATTAACTGAAAGAGATGCAAGCTCATCTTACCCAAATTTTCTAGTTATTTAACAAAATGAAAAAGCCAGTCTTTCATTTAAAATAAAATAAAAAAAGCTTTCACTCCCAGATAAGTTTCAGAACGCATCTTTCAGCAGCAATCTGATTGGTCATGGAAGATTCAAAACAGCAGGAAAGGTAAAAATTTGACATTTTTTATATTATAAAATAAGCTTAAACTTGCTTCTTAGAATACTTTTTATTCTTTGAGAATTCAAAGATAAATCGATGTTATGGCACTTAAAAAAAATCCATTCTAAGGCCATATAGCAGAACACTGATTTTGTTCAGCGTCAACAGCTCTGGGGAAGTCCAACTTTATCCATCTGTACAAAGATAGCTAAATATTAAATTCAGCAACTTTTGAAGCAATCACTTCCTTAATTAATCTGATCTCATGCTTTTTCTCAAATACTGGAGGACCTCTAGTACTGCCTAACATGGGTTACCTTAAAAGTGAGTAAGGCAGTTCTGGCCCCTTGCACCGCCAAGCGCAGTTCTCTGTGGCGGCACCAGAGATGCCAGGCGGTTTCTCAGCGCCATCTCCTGGACATTTTGGCGTCGTACGCGAGACATTCGAAGGGCTTTGTAGAGACCCAAGTAGGCATGTTTTATTAACCTATTTTTATTTTTCTTCTCTCCCAGCTCTAATCAACCTTCAAGAGCTTTCAGGTACCTGAATTATAAAAAAAGCCATCATATAGCTGGAAAAATAACCCTAATAATATTCTTCTTTTTCTGACTTAACTCCAGAAATACCCTCAGTTAATGACTTGTCTGATCAAATTGTACACCACTATTCCTCTTCGTTTTCTTTTGCCAAAGAGAAACATTTGACGTATATGAAGTAGTGTCCTCGTGTTTTACTTCCAGAAGCCTTCATTATGTCTGTGATTGGACTGCCATGACAAGAGGACAAGTGTTAACTCCAAATGAGCTGAAGTTGAGCAAGGAATAGTCTTTTCAAGATGAGGCTTTAGCCACTTGAAAAGTTGGGGCAGCTTGATACAAGTATAGCATAGTTTGTTTTTTAAAACTATCCCTCGCAGCATGACACGTTCAAAAGGAATTCTTCAAAGACAACGGGGTTGCTGTACAAGGCACTTGGCCAAATTCAGGTGTTACACCAGAAACAATCATTTCACACTATGAAAGTTTATTTTCTTGTGTGGGAAAATGAAACAAAGAAGCTAAGCCATCCTAAGAGTCTTATTTAAGTTACAAGGATGTAAGCTTATTCTCTTGAGAAAAGAAAGCTTCATTTTAAGTATAAGAAGTTTTCAATGCATAGAAGACATTGATACTTAAACTAGGTTGTCCTAATTCAGATAGTTTCAGAAACCAATTTTAATCAAATTGGGAGGTGAAAGGGGGGAGAACAAGACAGTGAAGATCACTGTTGCTACTCCAAGAGACTTTCCTTTGTGGGATTTGAGTTCTCATGGGATATCAGCACATCATGGCCCAGCTTCATATTTAGATCTTACTGGCCTCTTCTAACAATGATGCAGTGATACCTGTATCTCACAGCCCTGTCAGGTTACCACCTACAGCCAAGAAAGTTCAGAAGAAAACCAGGAAAATATAAGTATTACCAGAGGTCAAAATATAGACCAAACTTAAATTAAATGGTACTGAGCATATTCTTTGCCTGACCCTTGTCACAAACCTACGCCTAAAAAGGAAGTTAATTCAGTTTTACAGTCTGGAAACTAAAGAAGAAAATTAGTGCAAGAATCTGATCTTACAAGTCAAGATCTACAGAACTGAACTATATATTATACTTACCAAAAGATATTTCATGCTTAGACCATCTAATAGAAAACCATGATTTTTGCCACTTAACTTGCAGCATTGTCAGCATTTAAGCTATAGTCACATGAATAATAAAAGAAAATTACTTGTACTAAAGAAATTACTAATGACCATTTTTACATTTCTTCACATTGTTAAATGTCTCATTTTTGTTAAACTGCACAAAGCATTTAAAGTCACTTTTTTCTTCCAAGAAAAACAATTTTAATCTTGTATTTGTGTCCATGAGTCAATCCGGTACTTTTTTTCTTCAAAAAGAAAATACAGAACAGCAGTCCAACAAAAGAAACAAAAAACCCACTTCTATAACTTAAATAATGGAATAATTTGTGAAGGATAGTAAGGTTGCAGTTGTACTACCAAGAAATGAGTCACAATTACCTGGCTTTATTAGCCAACTGGTATGGACTTGGACAAAGGGAAAAAATCCCAGACTAGATGTTGACAGAGAGCTTCCGAAAAAACTTTGTAGTCAGGCCAATACCAAACCTCAAGAGGCATCTTGTAAACAAGATAATCTTCCTCCAGTGCTAAACACTAGGTATGTGCATAACAGACCGATAAGGAGCTCTGTCAACATAATTATCATAGACCCCTAATGGGTGAAACAGACCAAAATGCAGTAATAATAACACAATAGTCCAAGTAAAAACAGTGTTGTATGGTTGGCACTAATTCAAGTAAATAAAAATAAGAATGCTGCATGAACAACAAGTTAACATAAATGATCACTTACTGGGATTGTCTTCCTTCATCCATATCAAAAGCAGGTCATTGTCAAAGTAATTTCACCTCTTCCTGAAAGATGACCAGTATTGTTTTTCAAACAATGCAAAATCCTATTAAATACAATCATTGCCTGTGACTTAAATGTTACACGAACAAAATCAAGTTTTCTAAAAGTTTACTCAGTCACTTATGACAAACTGAAACATTACTACATTAGAAAAGTAGGTGTTCTAGAACTGGATGGATAAAATAAAATGCCAAATGCCTGAGACTGGGTCACTTCTAAGAGCAGATTATAAATATTTATGGATATTATAATCCCCAAAGAAAGAGTTTTTGGTTTGTGTGCTTGTTTTGGTTTCGTGTTGTTTGGTTTTTAAAATTTTTTTTTCAATTTCCCCCCCCCCCATATCTCATAAGGATTTCAGGATATACAAGTTCTGATGTGTACTTTTTTTTTTCCCCACTCAAAGCTCTGGTAGGTGTTCTGGCCACCTGAAAAAAGCAACTTAAATCTTTCTACACAGGCATTGTTTTTACCATGCATTGGTAAATTCTAACACTTCCAAAGGCACCACTGCCAAAAGAAAATTCAGACAGAAGATTTCTTGAACATTTTATGTTTAATAGACTTGAACTAGAAACCATTAGAACAATTCTTAACATCTATATACAAAATCTGGAACATGACTGAGTATCTATTACTTCTTATATACAATCAGCTGAAACAACAAAATTCAAGTATGCCCTGACTAGGAAATAAAAACACGCCTTTGCAAGATTATTTAGCTGGTTTTGATCGTAACCGTCGCTTGATGATTAGATGATCACTTTCCTTCTCTTTTTGTTCTATGAAGATCTGAAAAGACATTATTGCAAGAATTACTCAGCATTTCTTCAGAGACAAATGACATGGACTTCTAGACCCACATAACCAACATGTTTTTTCAAAAAAGATGTTTTTATAATGAAATTTGTCTGTAATCTTTTTGTCAGAGGTCTTCAAGATAGAGAGAATTTTAGTGCATCATAACAACAAATACTGGAAATACAAAATTCCATTTTTGCTGAAACAAATACCGAAGTCCAAAGAAAAACATGATCTGAAAGCAGCTCATATTTCTAATATTCATTTTGTGAATAATGAAGATTTCAGACAATATATTTGTAACTTGAATTCCTTTAGATTTCTCCGATTTTACCCAAGATTCATTTTTTCACTTTGCCTTTCACTTCCAAGCTTCTTAGCTTCTTGTGCCTTTTTTTTGTAATTTTCTTCATTTTCCTATGGACAGCATTTTGGTTTCTGCCACATCCATTAATACAATTTCAGAAAATTCAATAGGATCTCTCAAATGCTCACCATAGTGACAGAGGAAAGAAAGAATTGAATAGAATGAAGATACGTACTTCCAACAGAAGTACACTCAGTGATGTAGTTACTCTCAAAACCATCAAGTTGGATTTCAGAAAATTTCAGAAACACACCTCCAAGATTCTTTATAGGCTAGCTTAGACAGGGCAACACAATTTAAGCCCACTCATCTAAACTAAGCTTTAGAAAAGCATGGATATTTCTATAATATCAGCTGGACATAAACGGAATCAGAAATTATCTTAGACACTCACTTGCCCTGCTAATTGCACATTCAGACCTTTGTCTTTAATGCTTCAGTCATACTACTATCAATCTCTGGATCCTTGAATAGTTGTTATTTCTCTTCTCCCCTTAGACTATCCTTAGATCAACACCACCTACTGAAAAAACAACTTAAGACTCAATTGCTGTAGAGGAAGAAATGTAACCCTTAACAGAACACAGCAAAGATACCTATGAATCCAAATTTAAATTTGTCTATGGTTGCTCTATCATCTGTAGAGTAAGTCAGCAGTCAAACAGTGAAGATAAAGTGAGAAAGCAGAAAATTAGGTGTTCTGGTTTGAGACAGGATAAAGCCAGTTTTCCTTTTACAGTTTTTTTTTTTTCCTTCAGTGAACTCTTTTAAGCAGCAAACCTGATGTAAGTACCTGCAAGTTTACTAGCTAGTAGACTGATAACACCCAAATGTTTCTGGTTACTGCCAGAAGACAAAGGACACTTTGCTCTACTTGTTGAATCTGCTGCTTCAGACACTGAAGAAGCAGATAAGTCATCTACAACCCTCCCATAGGGAGGAGTGGACTAGACAGACTGCAAAATTGGTGAAATGAATTATTCCATACATATATCTACATAGCAGAATGTATAAATTCAGAGATCATCCAAGTCAAGCTCTCTTGCTTTTTCTTCTGTCCATGGCTGGCATCCAGGGAGGACTGTCTATCCATCTCCTTTGATCTGTAGGGCTGTGCATTCCTCACCCTTATAAACAGTCCCCTCAGCTCTGCTCTGCCCCTCTCTCTGGCAGTGCTTCAGGACATTTGGGGACTGCTCACAGCTCAGGACAGTGCCCTGAGAGTTGCTGAGGGGAAGTGATAGGGGTTTTGCACATTCCTGCACATACTTGTATATATTTGTACATATTTTCTTTTATCATTAGTATTTAATTAAAGCTGTCCAGTTTAGTTTTCAATCCAGAAAGCCTCTCTCCTTATTCTCTCTCCTTTCCCTATCTGGATGTAAGGGGGAGGAGGATCAAGAGCATTATTGTCACTGGTTTAATTGCTGATGGACCTGGAGTCAGACAATGACATTAAGTAAAACAGCAGAAAGAAAAGGTCGAAAGGAATGGTCAAGCAGAATAAATACTTTCAAACCTCTTCTGCATCGTGATCAGACTTTCAGGTTTTTTCTGTCCCCCTAATAGTTTATTTTAAGCCAAAATTACAGAAATACATTACAGTGGAAAAAACAATAGCCTGTAATCACTTACTGAAGAAGCAGGGATATCTAGGGGACAAGAAATGTCAGTTGAATACAGTTTTCTCTTAGCTCGTTTTGGCTTCAGCTCATTTTCTTTGACACTTCCTGGTTCTGCAGACTTGGGAGAACTTATGGTTGCAATCAGCTTCTTTGCTAGAATAAAAGTGTTACCATAAATTGATGTCTTACTGGTTCTGCAAGCCTCAAAATTAATGAATAAAGCAAGCTTTATCAAGAGAAAAACAGATGTAGTCGGTAGTTTAAATACAGAAGTTCAGAAGTGGTATTTGATTGCCACAGTCTTCTATAGCTTCAGATGCAACAGCTTATTTGCACATGCAAATACCACCTTACAAGTCAATTAGGACTCAGATTTCAGTGGATGTTAAACACTTCAACAGGAGTTGAACAATAGGCTTAACTACTTTGTGCTGACAGAAGTACAGGATAGAGTCAACTTTCTCTATATACTTGTATAGCTTTATCAACCTTGTACTAGATCTTTAGAGATGAGGGCATGCATATAATGAGCTAGAAGAAAAAATTCTGAACAATACTAAGTTACGAAAAAGAAGAAAAAATACAGGTAAAGGTTGCAACCTAGAACTAATTTTCTTTAAGTATTTTAAGGGGAAAATTTTTGGTAGCCTGAATTTGGCTTCCCTTGAAAATACATTGTCCTCATGGAAACAATCTGACAAACTTGCTTGGTTTTAAAAACTCACTATCAGCATATAGCGTCTTACTTATCTGCTGTAAGATGTACTCTCTAACAAGTCAAGATTTTAAGTTGGTACAGAGATGTAAATTTTAACTGTCCACATTGAAATATGACTTACTTTGTTTTAACTAACTGAATAATCATATCTTAGAATTTAACACTGGTGACTCCTCATGCCCTCTAATTTTAATCTTTTTTTAAAACACAGTAACTCAGAGATCATTTCTTATAGTAGGAAAGAATAAAAAGATGTTCTTCAATGGAAAGGCTTAGTGGTTAATCTTGCCAAGGCTATGCATAAACTTAATAAAATCCATTGATTGTTTCAATATCAGTTTATTGAAGACTTCAAAATATTTTTTAATGACACCAGTTTTCAGATTCTGTAGAACTAATATTCCCTTCCCATATACATACATCAGTACAATTCCCACAGGAGCAAAGCAGGGAGAGAGGGGAAAGAGGAATTGCTTATAGAACAAGGTAAGGTTTGGAGTTTGGTTTCAGCTCTTGATTTTTTTTAAAGCAGGAGCGCAAGTTTCTGAAACTGCCTTTAACTGTTTCACTGTAAGCAAGAAAAAAGTAACTCAGTGAAATTAAGTTATCATTGCTTTTATGATTAATTTATATGCACATGTTCCATACTGCATCTTTTCATTACTTGTGGTTTACCTTTCGCATTTAACCTAAACTTTAGAACTGTGTGGTCCTTGCCATCAAGACTGCCCTTGCAACTGTGCAAGATTAAATAAAGCAGGTCTTATTTCAGACTATTCTTTCAGAAACAAAAGAACAACTTAATGCAGCAGCTCTTTAACATATACATTAATAGATTACAGTAGAAAAATGAATTCTACAGCACTCAGAACACGGATTAAAACTTACTTATTCTGTACAAACCTTTAGAGTGAATGATAGTAGGAGAACTTTGGAAAAAACCTCCAATTTTTTGTAGCGTTCCATCTTTCTTTCTAGCTGACTTTTTACTTGAAGTAGAGTCTTGCTTTCTTAAGGAGTATTCTTTTCTAAAAGACTGCATATTAGACATCTATACAGAAATACAAGAATTTTTTTTTAAGTTGAAAAGTAACTTATCTTCAAATTTAATTCAGTTCTATTTGATATCAATGTTATTTTCAAGCTCACATTTTTGGCTGACACCTCTGTTCATTAGACTAACGATACTACCACAGCAGGAAACAGACAATTTATACCCAAAAGAAAAAAAAACAACATTCTGTGAAACTGACAATTTAAGGACATGAATAATATAAGAAAGAAATAGTGTCTGTAAAAAAAGTAGATTCAAAGTTGTAGAGTATTTCATTAGACAAGCTGTTCTAGTCATAAATAAAACAGAAACAACCTGATGGGGGGCAATAAATC